GGCGCAATACGGTTCGAACACTCGAACACCTATACAGATTATCCTGCACAGTGGCAGATATGTAAATACGGGGTTTAAATACCATTTCTGGCGCAATACGGTTCGAACACTCGAACACCTATACAGATTATCCTGCACAGTGGCAGATATGTAAATACGGGGTTTAAATACCATTTCTGGCGCAATACGGTTCGAACACTCGAACACCTATACAGATTATCCTGCACAGTGGCAGATATGTAAATACGGGGTTTAAATACCATTTCTGGCGCAATACGGTTCGAACACTCGAACACCTATACAGATTATCCTGCACAGTGGCAGATATGTAAATACGGGGTTTAAATACCATTTCTGGCGCAATACGGTTCGAACACTCGAACACCTATACAGATTATCCTGCACAGTGGCAGATATGTAAATACGGGGTTTAAATACCATTTCTGGCGCAATACGGTTCGAACACTCGAACACCTATACAGATTATCCTGCACAGTGGCAGATATGTAAATACGGGGTTTAAATACCATTTCTGGCGCAATACGGTTCGAACACTCGAACACCTATACAGATTATCCTGCACAGTGGCAGATATGTAAATACGGGGTTTAAATACCATTTCTGGCGCAATACGGTTCGAACACTCGAACACCTATACAGATTATCCTGCACAGTGGCAGATATGTAAATACGGGGTTTAAATACCATTTCTGGCGCAATACGGTTCGAACACTCGAACACCTATACAGATTATCCTGCACAGTGGCAGATATGTAAATACGGGGTTTAAATACCATTTCTGGCGCAATACGGTTCGAACACTCGAACACCTATACAGATTATCCTGCACAGTGGCAGATATGTAAATACGGGGTTTAAATACCATTTCTGGCGCAATACGGTTCGAACACTCGAACACCTATACAGATTATCCTGCACAGTGGCAGATATGTAAATACGGGGTTTAAATACCATTTCTGGCGCAATACGGTTCGAACACTCGAACACCTATACAGATTATCCTGCACAGTGGCAGATATGTAAATACGGGGTTTAAATACCATTTCTGGCGCAATACGGTTCGAACACTCGAACACCTATACAGATTATCCTGCACAGTGGCAGATATGTAAATACGGGGTTTAAATACCATTTCTGGCGCAATACGGTTCGAACACTCGAACACCTATACAGATTATCCTGCACAGTGGCAGATATGTAAATACGGGGTTTAAATACCATTTCTGGCGCAATACGGTTCGAACACTCGAACACCTATACAGATTATCCTGCACAGTGGCAGATATGTAAATACGGGGTTTAAATACCATTTCTGGCGCAATACGGTTCGAACACTCGAACACCTATACAGATTATCCTGCACAGTGGCAGATATGTAAATACGGGGTTTAAATACCATTTCTGGCGCAATACGGTTCGAACACTCGAACACCTATACAGATTATCCTGCACAGTGGCAGATATGTAAATACGGGGTTTAAATACCATTTCTGGCGCAATACGGTTCGAACACTCGAACACCTATACAGATTATCCTGCACAGTGGCAGATATGTAAATACGGGGTTTAAATACCATTTCTGGCGCAATACGGTTCGAACACTCGAACACCTATACAGATTATCCTGCACAGTGGCAGATATGTAAATACGGGGTTTAAATACCATTTCTGGCGCAATACGGTTCGAACACTCGAACACCTATACAGATTATCCTGCACAGTGGCAGATATGTAAATACGGGGTTTAAATACCATTTCTGGCGCAATACGGTTCGAACACTCGAACACCTATACAGATTATCCTGCACAGTGGCAGATATGTAAATACGGGGTTTAAATACCATTTCTGGCGCAATACGGTTCGAACACTCGAACACCTATACAGATTATCCTGCACAGTGGCAGATATGTAAATACGGGGTTTAAATACCATTTCTGGCGCAACTGTGCTGCAGCCTACAAAAAAATAACTACACCTCCTCTGCTACATAAGGTCCTCTTCTTTCTCGCACCCAATACCCACTGCCAAGCACCAAAACCAACAGGTCTTCAATCACATGCCGCGGATCCGCACGCCCACTGAGCACCGACCACCAGCTAGGACACCTCCAAACAAAGGTAGAAACTCACCCCTCAAACTCTTGCTCGAGGAGAAGCGCTCGAGTGACAACCGGACAGAACTGGATCGCACCCCTCAAGCTCCACCTCGCCAAAGGTTATGACTTATTATGATATTAATTATGACCTGCTGAAACAGCTACTGCAGCAAGGTTCAAGCAGACGAGGACAAACTGAAGACAAAGCCTGGACACACCAACCACTAACCCGTATCAATGAAGCACACCAAGGAGGGATGAAAACGGGGGACTCAAGTTTATTGAAATGAAAAAAACTGACAAGGAAAAGGAAAAGAACAAGCTAGGCCAGCCGACCGCCATCGCCAAAGGCGGCGGCCAGCCGGCCCAAAAAGAGGCCGGAGATGGAGGTTTTCAGAAAAAGAAAAGAGAGGTTTTTAGAGAGAGAGGAACATTTAGCATGGGGTTGATGTGCCCTTGAGCTGGGAATGGTACACAAACTGCATGAGTCTTCTCTAACATTGATCTGGAACCCATTCTCTCTCTCTCTCTCTCTCTCTCTACTGGGATTGATTTGTATGGCAAGGGAATATGGAAATAATTTTATAGCCCACCAAATAGTTTTTTAGCGTTCTAAGGCCTAGTTTTAAACAGTAAGGTTGAGAATTTTAGATGTTTTATCAATATTTTTATTAAGGGAAGTGATTGAGATCCCTTCAATCACTACCCCACTTATACGTGGCGGGTGATGATTAGGGGAGAAGGAAAAAAAGAACAAGAAAAAAGAAAAACTGGCTAATCAAAGAAAGAGGATGTCCAACTCATTTTCTTTTTATTAAATATTTTATGAGTGTGGAATTTATAAGACTTTAATATTGTAGGTCTCACATACTATGTGGGTATGAGATTTATATGAAACTCAGATCCCATATATCACATAGATATGGGAACACATGAGATTAATATGATGTGTGTCACACCCCAAATCCGGGCATGACCGGCCGTGGCCCACAGGGACTCGGACCTCGTCTAATGATGAAATGCAAGATATGTAACTCGATAAACTACAGCTCTGATACCACAATTGTCACAACCCAAATCCGGGCATGACCGGCCGTGGCCCACAGGGACTGACAATAAATAATGAATGTCTATGGGGTGAGGTTTGGATGAGATATTAGTCATAAAAGGGGAGGTAGAAATGCAGTCTTAACCTTCAATTCAATACAAGCTATGAAGCAGGGGTATGATCAACTGAAGGGGTGGATCTATTTTTTTTTTTTTTGATCAGCAAAGAGAAATTTCATTTAATAGCATGAAATTAAAGGTACAGGAAGATGAGATGCATCGAGAGAGATTCGGAAGTATAAAAATACCCCTACTACTGCTACTCGCATCCATACAACCAACCCCTAAGCCTCTCGATTTTTTAAATAAAAAAGTTAAGAAGAACTTAACTAGAGAATTAAAATACATGAATCCCCACATATTCAACCCACTAAAACACCCAATACAAACTAAATGAACTACCCTGCACCCAAACTAAACTAAATTAACTAAACCAACCCCGGGAACAACACCAACGCCTCTGCCAAGTCCACTCCTCTGACGCTGCTGCAAGAACAAGACATGCCTCTGCAGCTTCAACCACCCTCTCCTAGCTGCTGCCCACGCCACCTCTAAGCTGCTGCAACTCCATAGCTACTACCCACTCCACCAACAAGCCATGCCTCTGCCGAGAAGACTCCAAAAACCACCGCCGGGAACAACACCCACTGCCGACAGAACTACACCCCGGCTGCACACCCACTGCCTACACAACAACACCCACTGCCGAAGACACCCACATAGCATCTCCCACCAGATCTTCTTCTTGCTCACACCCAATCCCCACGCCATAACCTGTGCTGCAGCCTACAAAAAAATAACTACACCTCCTCTGCTACATCAGGTCCTCTTCTTTCTCGCACCCAATACCCACTGCCAAGCACCAAAACCAACAGGTCTTCAATCACATGCCGCGGATCCGCACACCCACTGAGCGCCGACCACCAGCTAGGACACCTCCAAACAAAGGTAGAAACTCACCCCTCAAACTCTTGCTCGAGGAGAAGCGCTCGAGTGACAACCGGACAGAACTGGATCGCACCCCTCAAGCTCCACCTCGCCAAAGCGCTCGAGTGAAATACCTGGAAGCTCCTGCTGAAACAGCTACTGCAGCAAGGTTGAAGCAGACGAGGACAAACTGAAGACAAAGCCTGGACACACCAACCACTAACCCGCAGCAACGAAGCACACCAAGGAGGGATGAAAACGGGGGACTCAAGTTTATTGAAATGAAAAAACTGACAAGGCAAAGGAAAAGAACAAGCTAGGCCAGCCGACCGCCATCGCCAAAGGCGGCGGCCAGCCGGCCCAAAAAGAGGCCGGAGATGGAGGTTTTCAGAAAAAGAAAAGAGAGGTTTTTAGAGAGAGAGAGAGAACTAATCCTGTTAAGGCTCTCTTTTCTTGAAAACAATTACTTAACCTTAAGTTATTGAAGATAAATCTCATATTCTTAATTAAGTACCAATTATAAACCCCAGGAAACAAAAAATTTAAGTGCCAATTAGCATGTGACACGAATCTTTATAAATTCAAAAGAGTGCATATAACATAGGCGAGACTGCAAGCTGGTGATTTTGCTCATCATTATTCACTACATGTGGTACAAGCCCTTTTCATCATTTATTAGGATTACTTACAAAATAATGGGATTACTTATTATGATGAAATTCAATAAAAATTATAATTACAATAATAAAAATCAAACACAATACATAATTAGGGGTTGTTTGGAATGTTCTAAATAAGTGTACTTTATGACTTTTTATGAAATATGGGTTGGGTTTGAAGTAGTCGCCATTTCAACAATGTTCTTAATGCAATTATGGGTATCTCATTAGATTTCTTTCAGGGTCCGGGGCCTGATGTTCCACCAGAAGTCCTAGAAGATCCCAGATTTTATCCTTACTTTAAGGTAATCCAGCATGACCAATAGATGAACTTAAATCATGAGTTTCATTTTGATATGAAAGTTGGCTCAGTTTAAATAATTCTCAAAATTAGGATTGTGTTGGAGCGGTTGATGGTATACACATCCCGGTGATGGTGGGTGTGGATGAGCGAGGACCTTTCCGTAACAAAAATGGTTTCCTTTCACAAATTGTTTTGGCATCGTGCTCATTCGATTTGAAGTTCCATTATGTTCTAGCTGGTTGGGAAGGCTCAGCAGCAGATTTACGAGTTCTAAATTCAGCTCTCACAAGGCGTAACAAACTGCAGGTCCCTGACGTTATTTTTCTATCTTTTTACCAGAAATCAAAATTCACATTGGACAGTAAATTGAAATGACATAATTTTAAGTTTATCTTGCAAACTGTTTGGAGGGCACTTTTCATGGCATGTATTAATTTTTATGTTAGCAATGATATATTGCAGCCATGTTTGTTAGAATATTGTGATTTTTTATTCAATTCATACAATTCAAATACGAATTTCACCAAAACTATTTCATGCATGATGTTGAATCTTAAATTGAGTGAATTATATGATTTAATTGCAATTCTATATGATTCCATGCAATTCATGGTGAGTCAGTTCTATTTGTATAATGTATGAAATTGCATTGTTTTTGCAAAATAATAATAAAAAATAAATAAAAAAGAGAGAGAGAGAGAAAAAGAGAGGAGCATGTATGTACGTATGTATAATTTAGTTATATTAATATTTATTTCACTTTAAACACTGTGTGTATATTTTTATATGTGTATTTTATGCTAACTAAAGCAAATCTTTTAATTCACGATTCAATTTATGATTTGACAACAATCATCTGTAGAAATTTAATGTATAAAGAGAAATGATTGTATTATTGATTGATGTATGTTATATTATTACAAATGGTGAGGGGCTCCTTATATAGGAGATGTAGTGGAGTATGTGGTAGTAGGTGGTAGTAGGTGGTAGTGGTAGGTGTGTAGTAGGTGGTAGTAGGTGGTGGTAGGTGTAGTAGGTGGAGTAGGTGATGGTAGGTTTTAACAGCCCCCCGCAAACTCAAGGGGGATAGGAACTAACCAACTTGAGTTTGCAAAGAGTAACAAAACAAGAAAATAATCTGAAAAATAAAAAATGGATAGGAGACACTGTATGGTCGTGTCAGACCGTTGTAGAAGACTGTATGGTTATGGCAGAACGATGTAGAAGACACTGGCTCGTGTCGGACCGATGTAGAAGACAGTTTATGGGGTCATGTCGGACCGTTGTAGCAGACAATTTACGGAGTCTTGCTGGACCCTTGTAGAAACTAACCGGAATCAATGTCGGGACAGTTTACAGAGTCTTGTCGAACCCATAAAGGAGCTAACCGGAATCAATGTCGGGACAGTTTGAGTAAATTGTCAATAGGTTTTGAAACATCCATTTACTATTTTTCAGATTATTTTCTTGTTTTGTTACTCTTTGAAATCTTGTTTAAAGGTGGAAAGGTTAGCCACATAACCCTTCCATAGGCTTGTTCTTTAGCTTTGCCCTCTTATTGTTCTTCATGTTCTTGCTTTATGTACTTCATTTCCAGCAATGTTTTTAGATAGTTTTTAATTAAATAAAGGTTGTTTGCATGTATTTAAGGCTTACATAGCTAGTTTGGTTCTTGTATCATATTGTTCTTTTGTTGTTCTTCATATTTAGGCTTCAATTCTTTAATTTCCAACACCGTTTTTAGTTAGATTTTGATTAAATATAAGCTGTTTGTATGTGTTTAAAGCTTACACAGATAGTTTAATTCTTATCTCATATCTTTTTCCTTTGATGATATTGCATAGCTCTCTTCTAGTTCCTCTTTTTTAGCATGGAAATAGATGTTTCATCCATGTTCCATGAGTAGGAAGATGAGCTTGCAATTATCTTTTCTTAGCTTTCATTTATTGCTTTTGCTTAGCGACGTCAACATTGTCGTTGAGATAGTGCAACCTGTTGAGAAAGTGTCAAAGGCTGGTTTGGGTCAGAAATGAAGCCTTGGTCTTGCTGGACAGTGGATCTTGGTGTGTTTGCAGATGGCAGAGTCAGAGTAGGACAAATGAGGTGCAGCAGTTAAACGCCCAACTGGCTCTGCTCCAACGCATGTATAAGGATGCGCGAGCAGAGATAAGTGTGCTAAAGGCGGAAAATAAGGAGCTGAAGCGGAAGGCCACCGTGATGTTCCGATTTGGAGGGCCGCCATATGCTGCAGTGGAGGAGTATGGGGGAGTGAACGTGCTCAGCGGCGTGGAAAACACGGAGGCAACATTGTCAAGGGCCGCCCAAGATGGAGGCAAGAAGAAGAGACCGGCAGCAGAGTAGAGAAGAAAAATCCCACTGTGGGTGTGGTTGTTTTGTTTGTTTTGTGGTTTGTTTTTTTTTTTTGGTGTAAAATTATGATCAGTGCGAAGTCCCGATAGAAATAAAATGAGTGTATTGTGCAAATCCGAATGGCTGGAAGGTACAAGACTGAGCAGAAAAATTAGATGGAATGAATAGAAGGTTTTTTTTTTTTTTTAAAGAAAAGATAAAAAGTTGAGGTTCAAGGAAAAGTTGGGCGGTGGAAAATATGTTAGAAGGAAAAAGTGTATATAATAATAATAAGAAAAGTGAATTGGGTGGCCCGAGGAGGGTTCAGTCTCTAATAATAATAAGAAAATGAATTGGGTTGTAGAGAGAAGAATCTGAGAGAGATTTCTAAAGAATGGATGTTTTTTTTTTGTTGTTTTTTTTTTTTGTTTGATAAAATAAAATAAATAAAGGGAAAGTAGGGGTAGCGTGAATCAGCATGCGTTTTAAAAAATGAGTAGGTATGAATTAGAGTGGGTATGGGTTTGTACAAAATAAGAATAAAATAAATGATGGGTTTTATATATATATATATACTGAGAGAGTGGGGAACAAGGGGAATAATGAGTAAAGAGAAAAGGACCAGAGAGAGAGGGAGTGGGTTGATTAAAAAAAAAATATTTCAGCATAAAGTGTATGTGGGAGAGGAAATAATGGGACAGGAGGGTTGGGAGCAAAAAGGAAATAATGTGAGGAACATGTGAGAAGGCGTGGGTTTTGAGGAGAGAGAAAGAGGGTGGGTTCTGATAACTCAGCCACCTTCTCCTGTTGAAGTGACCTCAAGTAATCCAGCAAATCATTCTTTTCCTCTCCAACAAACTGTTGCATTTGAAGAGCTACAGAAGACAAACGAGAATGCAAATTTAAAATGTATTGTTGAGCTTCAGGAGTGATTTCCCCAAGGCCTTCAACACCAATACTCTCAGATACCTTATCACTTATTTTTTCTGATTTGGGCATCTCATCTTTTCTAGCCAAGTTGACCCTTCTCTCATAGTCAAGCAACATCCTTGGTGCTTCAAATCTGGAAGAGCAGTTTCATTCCACATTAACTTCTTGCAAACATAGCATCATTTCAAGCTCTCTCTCGGTCTCTCATTTCTGCTGCTGCTACTGGAGCACAAGTGGATGAGGAAGAGGAAGAGATTGACGAGACTGGGGTGGAGCCACGTGACATTGATTTGGTGATGACACAGGCAGGTGTATCAAGGGGTAAAGCTGTCAAGGCTCTCAAGACTCACAATGGAGACATAGTCTGAAAGTATTTGGGCAATGATGGGAAGGTATGTGTAGAAAATAAACGGAATAGGTTGAGGTCCGGCGGGAAACTTGTAAATACGGCTGTCTTCCACAGTTTTCTTGTGGTGGTTGCAGTCGTCAACCGATTTCCATTCGTATGTGTTGAAGATGTCAAGATCCTGCCACAACCTTTTCAACGAATTGAAATATTTGGTGACGGAATCATCTCCTTGACGAATCTCTCCCAACTTCAAAGTTAATTCGAAAACTTGAGATTGATTTCCTAGGTCAGAATACATCTGACTAACATTATCCCACAACTCTTGTGCAGTAGTATAGCACATGTAATTAGAGCTTATATCCTCCTCCATGGAATTGACGATAGAAATATCCCAAAAACGGTCTTCTACTCCACTTGTCTCCCCCTGAAGAGAAGTGTTGGGGAAATAGGATTTTGTTTCCACAAATGACACATCCATACTCACATGAAATTTCTTGGCTTGAGGATCGAAACACTTATACCCCTTTTTGTTTGAGGAATAACCCAAAAAAACACATTTTATAGCACCGCCCCGGAGTTTGCTCCGTTGAACTTTCCGATGCGGTCGGTGGAGCAAAAAATGGCGGTGCAAACTGACATTGAAGCCAATCAGTATACTTTGAAGTCCTGTGTGGAGACGATGACGGCAGTCACAAACTTGTCGCACCGGCTGCAGAGCAGGACAAATGAAGTGCAACAGTT